TGGACATTTAATCGATGACATATTCCATATATAATGCCATGCTTGACCCATCCGAAACACAGCTTGATTCATTCGCTTTAAAAGGTTTGTTTATCAAAATGACGCGAGACGTCGCCCTCGACCGCTCGTAATAAATAAACGCTAGATGTATGGACGATCAAATAGAGCACAATGGGACAGCGCAATTTGATCCACAATGAAGATAATGGGCAGTTTGCGGCTTGAATGCATTATCTCTAACGCTGTTGCTATTGCTGAAAACGCTTCTATCCTGTGTACGTGACTCATCATTGAGAACCGGCGCGGTCAAGTTCGACGTGTGTATTGAATTGAAGCCTCTGTGCTATTTTTATGCGCACAATTGAGCCTTTGTTCGAAATATAAAAATTAATTGCGTTGCGTGGTAAATCGGCGATAATAGAAGGTCGCTTTGATTTTGTAAAACGTATGCCGTAAGGCACTGCGAAACGTTAACTACGGTAAATGTTTTGTAATCCTTGTCTAAACGACAATTACTTTTATTATATACGTGTAAAACGAATATAATACAATCGCTTAAATTAATTAATTTATATATATATATATATATATATATATATATATATATATATATATATATATATATATATATATATATATATATATGGTGAATCAACTTTTTTTTGTCAAAACGTGTCCCCAACAGTATAAATTATTAAAAACTTAAATTTTGAGTATTAAGGCTTTAATTTTAGTACAGTTATAAAATCAAATATTTCGTAGTTAATTCGAATTAATACTTAGCTGCAGTTATACTCAAAACTCCAAAAATAAAACTCGTGACCCAGTGGACTAAATAGTCTTCCCATACAAATTCATCCTGTCCCCACGGAGTGTCGGCCTGGTATCTAGCAATGATACTATTTTTTTTTTCATAAGGATGCAATGAGCTTTTGCGATGAAAATTAAATACTACATGCTTTCTTTCTTTGTCTCTTTTTATAGATCCCTAAGTTTAGTTTTCGGTATAATAATTAAAATCATAATTTATGTCCCCACGATAGCAGTAGAACATGCGTCTCCTGGGTCACACGCATAAAACATTGTAAAATACGAGAGAGATAGCATGTGAGTGGCTTAGTTAATAGGAAATATGTAGTTCTGTACTTCGGACGATCCTACCTAATTACACTATAGCAGTGATTTGGCTCGACCATTTCGTCTGTGACTTCAAAAGTGCATGCGTGTGTTCATTGTGCTTCCGCTGGCTGACGTCATAATATTTATTTAGATAATATTTTAATACGTTACTTTCAAACTAATTTCTTAAGTTTTAAATCTGTAATTCCTCTAATATATGTAATTATCAATTTATCGAAACTTTTCTTAAGAAAAAGCGTAAAAAATCGTATTATTTCTCCTGGGTCACAGTTCCACTGAGTCACAAAACGAGTGACCCAAGAGACAATTCTTGTGAGCAAAGAGACAATTTGCATTTTCTTTGCATATGATAACGAATAAGTCTCCTTAATAAATATTTACATTCTATTTCAATGTTCAATTACCAATTCCGTTTTCTCTGTAAAGTATTTTCATGTTAATTATTAGGTTTGTTTTGGTTTAGTGTAAGTTTAATCGTTTCAGTAAATACGCCTTTAACAGCCGCCAAAAGGCAGAGTAGATATAAAGAAAAACTCAAACTGAATTCTGAAAAGTACGAAGAATATAAAAGAAAAAAGCATGTGAATTATCATACAAAAAAGAGACTTATCAAAGACTTAACACCACAAGAGAAATATAATGCAAGAACAACTTGGAAACTTAGGAAGAAAAACTTAAGACAAAACAGGAATAATTTAAATCACCTTCTTGATGATATAACACCTCCAAGTTCTTCTTCGATATTGATACCTGAAGCAGATGCTATGGTAGCCCATGATACTTTTCAAAATTCACCGCATCGAAACAATGACGAGACGGATATAACTGGTATTAATAGTCCGCAAAATATGCTTCCACATAAAAATGTATCAAGGAAGAGTAAATGACTACAGAAAATTAGAAGAGATCGATCAAAATTATATAGGGAAAATTTAAAGTTGCGGAAAGAAAATGAAAAACTACAACAAAAATACGAAAAATAAGAAAAAACGTTGCCAAAGAAACAACCATGAAACAAAAGCAAATGACAATGCTGATGAAATGACAAAGTACAAAAAGCTATCCGGTGTTTTCAAAGAAAGGTACCAAAAAACAAAGAAATACAAAGATAAGAAAATACTGAAAGACATATTTGAAAGTGTTGATGACTGTGCAAAAAAAGTAATAGTTAAAGAATCTCTGGGAATAACCGGACAAATAAGGACTTGAAAGTCGAAGCTAATGCTTATTTTAACTATTTAATCAACCCGATTGATAGAATTATGCCAAGCTCACAACAAGAATTCGTTTCAACTGGTTTATAAAACACCTGAAACTTCTGATGATGAGCCAGTGATGACATCTCTAAAACCAAAAAGTTCAACAGCACAACTTTGTAACAAAAAAGAGAACCAAGAGGTGAGACAGATGGACTTTTAAGTAAGATTTTTAAATATGCTTGTGTAGTCGATGATTTGCACGAAGATTCAAATTTCACAAAACACATTTCGTCTCGAAAAGAGTGACGTAGCTGACATCGACTACACTGACATAATATAAATTCTAGCTGAGCATAAAACGACTACCAAAAGAGGACAACAGTATTACATATTTGAATATAATGTACACGTTTTAGAGAAGTGATTTGGCAATAGTTATTTACTTCACTACTTTAAAGTTTCCGTTATTATATATATTTTTACTTATTGTGATTGTGCTTTTTGTTGGACTTTTTATTATAATTTGTTATTTAGACTACACAACAGAGTTTTTGACAGAATTTTTATATTATTAACAATTTTAAATTTATTATTTTTCTTTTAATTTTGGTTGGTATATCGTTATGTCTCTTGAGTCACTAAGTTTGTCTCCTGACTAACAACAATGTCCCCTAATTTTATAATGAATCTCTCGACATTGAAATAGAACAAAATATCTTAGGTATATTTTATTTTTATATAATGGTTGATGAATAAGTGGCGGTAAGTATAGTATTAGTTTGGCTTACATGTGTTATTTAAAAAAAAAGTTATAGTTAAATTTTGTATTGATTTATTTTACCAGTGACCCAAGAGAAACAAGGCACGTCATTATTTTAAGAATAAGACTGATTTGTTTAGTTTCAAAGACCTATAATAATTCCTTTAAACTTTAATAAAAAATAAATATACTGAATAATCTTTTCTGTTTTGTTTTACTTACGATATATTGTATAATATGTCCGTTACCCAAGAGACATTTAATGTTGTCAGTTCTGACATTCTTGGTTAAAAACCCTAATAGCATTTAAAAAAGTTCGATGCTCTACATAAAATATTAAAACTAGATCGTTCAGTTATCTATATTTAAAGTTAAATAACTAAAAACACTAAGTTCATTTTTTAACACAAAAAGTTGATTAATTACAGAAAATAGTTGATTCATCCATATATATATATATATATATATATATATATATATATATATATATATATATATATATATATAGTGTATGGACGAATTTCCGTCCTTCTGAGTAGGCACCGGCTTTTTTAACAATTTCTTCCGACAAAGTGCTTGCACTGCTGTGTTCCAGTCTGAAAGGTATAGAGAACTATTCTATCATCTTCAATAGTGACAACGCATCTGTAACTAGGGATGTCGATTCTTTCCGAAAAAGACAGATTTTTAAATCGATTCGAATCGAAATCTGATGAACCAATTCACAAAAAAAAGATAGATTTCTCAAAAATCAATCTTTTTCGATTTGCTTTCAGATTCTTACAAGGTATAGATTACCTGCAAACGTAACTTATTTTTTATTTATTTAATCCATTAAGAAGAGGCTAAATAAACTGAGCACACATCAGTTTTGCTAGTTTTTGAATAGAAAAACTGCCGTTCTTTACGAGTTTGGGTACATTCAGCTAATTGTAAATAATTTTATAGTTTTTATGAAAACAGAAAAAGATTCGATGTCGATTTCTTAGAGTGAAATATCGATTCAGTACTATATATCGATTAAAAAAATCGATCTCAGATCGACATGCCCATCTGTAACTTTCTTTATATGATGTTTGCTACAGTTGTCTATGGTCTTATAAGTTCGTTTGTCACATCAGTTTTTTTTTTTTAATAAATACTAAAATATCGTTTATAATTAGTAGTTTTTAAACGTATGTTTGTTTATACTACCGTTTACCCTACTCTATAAAAAAGTTTACTTTTGGTTTGAGGTTAACACACATAAATTGCACGTGGGCAAACATCCAGATCAGAAAAAGATATTTAATGAATAACCTAGCAATAAAAAGGAAAATGGGTTGGTTTTACTAGTGTGCACATACACATTGTTTTAGTGTGCGTAAGCTCGAGAGTCAAAATTTATTATTACTGTCGAGTACCATCAAAACACTAGATAAACGGAGAAAAGATGTGAGATAATAATTAATGTGTCTTTGATAAGTAGCAGAAGTCAAATGTAAATAATTAAATTATAGTTTAAAAAAACTAAAGAAACACGCTAAATACAAAATCGTTTTATTTTATCCTGGTGCTCCTGATATAGATACTATGATAAAGTTATTGAATTATTTTATTGTCATCGGTGCTCGGTAAAAGTGCAATTATCAAGTCAATCGGTCGAAAGTTGGTGAAAATTACATTAAAAGATTCCTTCATAGATAGATAGATACACGTGAAGCTAATAAATCCATGTTAAAATAATATTAGAAAAGTGGAAGTCACTACCTGCCCTTAAAACTCTCCCCATACAACTCTATAAACTTAAAAAAATGTAAAATCATGATTGCATACAAATGTGCCATCATGCATATGAATTCATAGGATTGTACAAATTTCAAGTCCAACCTACACAAGCAAAAGCAAAAAAACTGCCCAGTTTAAATTTCATTCAAGTACTCACCCGAGTCCTTAGCGATTTGTGAGTAGATCGCGAACGCCACTTCATCCTCGGTGACGAAATCCCACAGCCCGTCGCACGCAACCACGATGAAGTCCTCATCGCCGTCCAACTCCACAAGCGCAATCTCCGGCTGTGCCGTCACGTACGGTTTGTAATTTGCGTCACCTATATACAATTGATTCAATACTGAGTCATTATGAAAAAAAAATATTTGGACACCTTATATATTTAATTGAATAGTTGAATTGATATAATAAATTGAATAGTTTTAAAAATACATTTAATGTAATGGTCTCGAAATAACATGGCCAAAACATATTATATCGAAAATAGTAACTTTAAAAGGTAAAAAAATTCTGCCACAAGGAACTATACAATGTATCGGAATGATACCAAGTCTGTCTATCAGCACGGTACACATTGCCTAAAATCAACTTGAAAACCATCAAAATCGATAAGAGAAAAATTTCTCTGCTAATAAATCATTAAAAAAATATGTTTAACTTAATTTCATGTTGTATGCACATGCTTTGGACGACCATCTAGATCGTAAACTTTGCACTATGTTCATGTTTTGATGTTACTCTGTTTTGGGTACCTAAATAAATAAATAATTCCTATAATTTCTTATTGCTTAACCTTCATTACAAACGTGTTCAATTCTTTGTGAGGTGAGTTTTCAACTAAGGCCGAGAACACATTTCTATCCCAATTGGACCGGGCTGCTTACTCCTCCTCCCTCTCCCCTCTACCATCAGAAAACTAGAAGCTCAACCAGTATCTACCCTTTTGTTAACGACATATGGCGCAATAGAATCAAACAATTTGCTTTGTCTTTCGTAATTCGTACAGCAATGGAGTGGAATAATTTGCCAGCATCTGTCTTTCCATCCTATTACAACGTAGGAGACCCAATGCTTTTGTTAAGCTAAGTCACCACTTACCATCAGGTGGAATAGAGGTCGAGTACTGGTTTGTAATGCTTAAAAACGTTTGTGTTTTTTTTTCTTCAAGTTGGTGGTTGTATGGGTTTTAAAACATTGTTTTTTTATCTTTAAGAACTATTTAAATATAAAAACACCATAATATGCATAAAATATGTATTTTCTTACGAGATCTTAATCACTATCACGATAGAATATATTGTTATTATTATTCTATAGGATCTAATCTAAATAACAAAAGTAACAACACGAAATGCATATTAACGATGATGCATGAAAGTTACCGGATAACTTACAACTGAATTCGAGGGGAGTTCGAGCAAACGTATCGGAACTTAAATATCCATGGATTATAAAATCGATGGAGTTAGTCGCAATATTTGAAAAACAAGAAGAAGAAACAAGAGAAAACTTAGAATAATAACCAACATAACAATCTTACATATTCCCATCCAAAACATAATTCTAATAGATCAGATTTGTAATGATCAGATGATATAGGATCTATGAATAGTTTGCACCTAATATTCTACACTTCATTTACAAAATCTAAGACATGTAAAGCGTACACTACACGCTCATGCAGTCGTCAATCAATTCTATCAATCAAGATTGGTAAAAAACGGATGGTGACTGATAGGCGTAGATTACGCGCTCATGCAGGCGTCAATCACTGCACTACACGGTAGGTTATTCGTCAATCACAACCGTGATTGTAGTAAAACCGACAGCCTGCATGAGCGTGTAATGTACGCCTAATGACGGAGTCCGGGGTTCTATACGGATATCTTCTTTAAGAAGTCTATCACGCGGATATACTCCGAACATAGCCTCTCCAGCTAAGCGATTTTAAGCTTTCTCATACACAGGGCAATAAAGAACCACGTCGCAGATCCTTATATCATCACTGACAACACCATTTTCAAAATTGAGGTATACGTGACTAGAAAATCTCTGAAACGTTGCTCAGCCGAGTCGGAAGTTATCGCCTAAACATAAACATAAACCCTATCATACCCGTCACGCAGTAGGGTAGGCAGAAACTACAGACTTTAATTTGGAATGAATTATTATTTATTACCGAATAATGTCTACGAACTGCTCCCGTAAAAACTGGAGAAATTTTAACCTGTATGATTCGAGCGAACTGGTTAATTTACCATGAACGCTAAAATACGGCTACAGAACAGAGAATCGATACAGTGCCAGGGACTTGACCTTCTTTATAAAAGTGCAGCGTGTCCGGGTGATCGATATGGTCCCATGCGAAGTGGGGCTCTGTGAGAAGGGACAAGGAACTGGCGAGGGGTCGCAATCGCCTCGCCGGCGCCCGACGCGCGCTCGAACCAATTGAGTTGTAAATTAAACAGTTGCATTGTCTCAAAAAGGCGATTTGACGTAGGGGAAGTGATCAAATAAATGAATATTGTTTGTGTGGATTGTAATAATAATGGTAATTGCCTTTTTAGGTACTTGTTTGTCGATTTTTCCAATTTTCGGTTATTTTATCTTTTTGACGTTTTAGACATCGACTTTCATTATAATATCTTTAGTACATTCTGTGTAGACTAGCTTCAGGCCGTGGCTCCGTTAGCATTAAAACTGAAACATCTTCATGTTTATATTTTTGTACAGTAAGGAGTGCTAGTATAACTATAGGCTATTCATATATGTAAGGCACTCCATTTTATTCCTCAGAGGTGACAACACATCCGTAGCTTTCTTCGTTTGAAGTTGGGTGCAGGTGTATATGGGTTACAGAAACCACTTACCATCAGGTGTACTGTGAGTTCTTTCTCACTTCAATGTTATAAAAAAATTGAACCGAGTTTTATTAAAACATTGAAGTGAGATATAACATATTCTCTTTAAATTAACTCGTAATCTTAGGCCTAAGCTTACCTTAAGACTTAGGCTGAGATCTATAGATCGTACTTTGATTTTGCACAGAATTTGCTTTCGAGCTGACATTGTCGATATTTATAGACCTAACTTCAAAGGCGTGCTAAGTGCGCTCGATGCAAAGCCTAAGTCAACGAAATCGACGACTTACGAAAAACTCAGGATAATAACCAAAACCACCGTATTTCATTTTAAATTGTTGTTTTTAGGTTACTCTAATTATTTACTACAATAAATCGGTAGTGTTAGGCTGTGTTCTAGTTTTAAATAGTATTAATCCATTTTCTATTTACGTAATTTCAAACTTATTTCGAATTTCGTAAAATCGAAAAATCAGCAATTTTAGCCAAAAATTATATTATTATTAATTTCCAAAGTAAATATAAGTATCTCCAAATATCATCCATTATATCACAATGTCCATAAACAAACCCGGGTTACAGAAAAGTCCAAAGAATATTTGGTCCTAATTGCGGAATCGCAGGTCGAATAGGTAGGTAGGTATAAAGGTAGAATCGGGAGTCCAAGTTCCAAAGCCAGTCGCAATAAAAAGATCAGGCATTTAAAATTAAAACTTAAAATGCACACAGTGTTAAAAAAATCAAAAGCTTCACGTTTGGAATAGTGATTTGACAGCGCGTGATCGGCTGACCAAACGTTCGGTTTCTTTCTCAAACTAAAATTAGTTAAATGTAATAACAACTTTTTTTATGAAATGCAATTTGGAATGTTTTCGATTTTTAAAGATAATTTTTTATTTTAATTTTATAATCTTAGCTAAATCTTAGTCCGATACAACTATACATTCAGAATCAAAGATTATGCTAAGCATATACATACTTAGCTAAGATTTTCGTAAGTAAAGTCTGTGCAGTCTCCCTCTCCCGTAAAGGCTATTTACCGCAAACGCTACATAAAGATGTCTCGCAACTTGGATATTGGGTATTTTGTTAATTGGATTCTTTCTGACAGTTTAGAACATCACCATGGCAACAAGTCACGGGCACAAAAGGAAATGCTATATCGTCTTTTGAAAAGCCGTTAAAGCTAACTGTACAGCATATTTACATTGTATAAATCATGCATAAATATTCCACCATGCAATTACCACGCTTGGCAAATTATTGTTATCATGTTTGCTTGCACTGTTAGATGTACTGTTTATAGGTTTTGTTGGTCTGTGGTTATATTATTGCAATAGCACAAGCTGACTATGAAGGTTTTATTGTTTATTTTCCTTAACGTGACAAATTCAAATAAAGACGTATGTGGCTGTGATGTGACCATTTAATAAAAAATACTATCTTCACTTTAACCCTTTAGCTATTTTTCACAAAGGTCATGAATTGGGAATTAAATTACTTAACTGGTGGAAATCTTGGCCGATTTCTTTTTGACGTTTGGGTCCGATGTATTGTGTAAATGTTAGAGATGGGCCGAATATTCGTATATTAATGTCTTGTCACCAGTAACGATTTCTGAAACACGCCTAGATGCCCCGTTTTCAAAACGTAGACGCATTTCAAGGCACGAGTCTGTTTTTCGCTTTCGGAGAGCAAACGAGGGATCTATCGACAAAAAAGCTTCCTCACTCCAAGATGTTGATGTAGGATGGTATGAATCATCCTCGAAGTAATATATAGTATAATGCCTACAATATTTTCGATGCATGTATATGTGATTCGTGGGTCTTCTCGCACCAACATTTCAGTAGTCCATACATTTTCTGCCGTTACTGCTGTTTGCGGGGCCCCGGTTCTTTGGTTATCTTTAAGGTTAATATTACCCCTTTTGAATTCAGCAAACCACATCCACATTATTACGCGTGAAGGAGCTGAGTCCCGTAATGCTGGTTGTAACCGTTGTAAACTTAATTGTTCGGTTAAACCAAATTCAAAATCATAATAGATCATAGCGCGCAAATGTTCACGGTTAAAATCCATCGTTTTAAATGAAAAGCGCGGGAAGCGTTGCAGGAAATTGGCTTATGAGTTCTATTTTTAAATAAATTTCCTTTTTAGAAACATATAACACAGCATCTCAAAACGTATTGAGTGACCTACATAATATGGTCCGGTTAATATGGTCACTTTCTTATAACTCAAAAACTACAGCCGTGTTTGCATGGATGACTCTGTGATACGATAGCTCTTCATCAGTCATGCGAATATTAAGGGGCCAAAAGGGTTCTGCTTCATTGACGCAATTTTGTCATTTGATATTATAGTAAATATTTTTGTCGATTTTAGTATTGTGTAGTGTACTTAGTCTTATTTAGGTTGATTTTTCGAAGTGTTCCTAATTCTTTCCAAGGCTTTT